TTCTCATTTGGCCAACTTCATTCCAATCCTCTTGTTGCCCATCAACGATGTGCTTGACGCCATGATGAACGAAAAAAGAGCTCTCAACTGAATATCCTTGATGAGTACATAGTTTGAATTCTGATGCATCATCTAAAGATCCTACCTTTGTGAATTGTCCTCACTATGGATCTATTCTTGATACTGACTACCTTCATTAATTCCCAGAGTCTAGCCTTCTGGGGTTGTCACCTTTCCCCTGTCGGTGATTTGCTTGATGCCAATGATGGAAAAAGAGAGCTAACTGAAAATCTTTGACGACCAAGCTACACTTGTCTGAGGCACATTTTAAGCACTTCACCTTTGCCCATGTCATTTGATGATCGACCTAGTGCTCACTCCGCTGACCCTTTTCTTATAGTTGACTTGTTTTCATGTTGCAAACCTTGCCGGTACATGTGAGTCCCTAACGTGAATTTGCGCGTTGCCAATGATGAATAAAGAGAGCTGCTGAACATGTCTGATGACCAAGATAACTACACTCTGAGGCACATTTTGAGCGCTTTCCCTTTGCCCATATCACTTGCTATTGTTGCTACTCTGCTTAACGCTCTCTTGGCTAACTATTTTCTTACACTTAATTTGCTTTTATATTGCGAACATTACCGGCGTATGTAAGTTCCCACTGAGTATCCGAACGAGCCACTAATTGTGGGATTGCTTATTCCTTACCTTTCTTATACCGTTACCTCTTCTCTTCTTGATGCTCCTATCGCTAATTTCCAGATATCAATTTTCTTGATTGTGGTATATCTCCTACCCCTTTGTTCGAGAGGAAGTTGCCTAGTGGCAATGACGAAAAAAGTCTTGTGGTCTGAACTTCATTGAAGAAAAACCTCGGTATTCTGAGCCACCACCATTTGTTATGGCTTGTTCCTTTCCTATACCCCTACGGTCACTGTTCTCGATGCTCCTGTCGCTAAGTTCCAGACTGGAATTTCCTAGATTGTGAGTATATCTCCTAACAATTTGCTTGAGGGCAACTTACTAGTGGCGATGATGAAAAAAGTCTCATATCTGAACTTCATTGAAGATAAGCGCCGGGCCACTGAGTCACCACTATTTGTTATTGCTTGTTCTTTACATTTCTTATACCTCCACTGCTTCTGATGCTATTGTCGCTAATATCTGGACTGGAACTCCCTAAATTGTTAGTCTATCTCCTACCCTTCTGTTTAAGGGTAATTTGCTTGGTGGCAACGATGAGATATCTTCTCTGGTGAAGTACTTCGCTGGTTGAACTTCATTGATAAAAAGCAAATACTATGAGCCACTATTCCACCCACTACTATTGATGTGTTGCCCTTTGTCTTACCCTTGAACATTCCTGCTTATTACTATCGGTGAGTTTGAAGATTCCGTCTTGTGTGACTAAGTATGTTCCTCCTCTTCCACAGTGATTTGCTTGATGCCAATGATGAAAGAGCGAGACGAACTGAACCCTTATTGATGGAATATATTAACGCCAGTCTGAGGCAACATTCAAGCAATCCTTCGCTTTCCCCGCTGCTATTGTGTCAAATTTTGAGAGTTCCTTCTAAATTCCTGTTTCTTTTCTAGGGTTCCCATATCCCCAGAAGGGCAGCCTGTGAGACGACGATAACCTGCGAAATTGTGTATCCCTAGCCGAATTTGGTTGATCAGACATCATTCAACATTGTCTCAATGCTCTTGAGTTTAAATAGTACGAAAATATGATCTATATCACAACATAAATGATACCATCTTTCCAAAGTTGCGGTACCTTTCCCCCGCCTAAATAGCCCCACACGATCGTCCATGACGCCGCTCCCGTCTCTTATCACGACATCGGCACATGAGGAGATTTCTGATTGGCTACAACCATGTCCAGGGGAGCTTTTCTGTGAAAAAAAAAAAAACAGAACAGTTTCTGTTTCTCCGATTTGAATGATTTGAGACCTGTCTTCTATTTGTTTTTATGCAGCCTTTCTAGATATGGCGGACAAAACAGATTTCAGCGTAACATACAGGGGACCTATACAGGATGGCGCTACGAAAAGCGTCCGATCGGAGGAGATTCCCCGATCGGATGAAGAGATTGCGACAGATCCTATGTCTGCACCGTTGAAGCGGCAGCTCAAGTCTAGGCATCTACAGATGATCGCTATTGGAGGTGAGTCTGGGCTCACATTGTTTTATGTACTTGGTGTTGACCAAAGTATTCGCAGGCATCATCGGTCCTGGTCTGCTGGTAAGCTCCGGCAATGCGTTGCATGAGGGTGGGCCCGCAGGGGCTTTGATCAGTTTCTCGCTGGTCGGCATTATCGTCTTCTTCGTCATGTAAGGAGGTCATTTTCTGGTCTCAAGCATGATTCTAATAGCTATAGGCAATCGCTGGGTGAAATGGCCACTCTGCTCCCTGTAACTGGATCCTTCACCGAGTACGCGGAGCGCTTTATTGACGACTCTCTGGCATTTGCGCTGGGATGGGCGTATTGGTACTTATGGGTGACCGTACGACATACATCAGGAATTCGAAGATTATGAAGAATGTCTAGCTGACAAGCCGCTCCAGGTTTTGGCAAATGAATACAACGCGATATCTCTAGTTATTGGGTACTGGACAGACGCTGTTCCTCAATGGGGCTGGATCTTGATCTTCTGGGTGATGTTCCTTACCTTGTCAAATCTGGGGATTTTGGCCTACGGTGAGATGGAATTTTGGCTATCTCTGTAAGTCTCCATGTGTTGTGTTGGTTGAAGTATCGACCTGGCTAATAGATTGCAGTATTAAGGTGTTGGCGTTGATTGTCTTTTTCATTCTCGCAATTATCATCAGCGCAGGTGGCATTGGACCGCGCGCTACTGGGTTTAAATATTGGCATTCCCCGGGGCATTTGCAGATTCAATCAATGGCGTGGCGAAAACCTTTGTTGTTGCCGGCACATTGTATGCTGGGACTGAAATGTATGTTCCCCAGTATCGAAGGTGTGGGGGATGGTAAATACTGACGGTCGAATTAGGGTTGGCATCACTGCCGGAGAATCGGCTAATCCTCAAAAGGCAGTACCCAGGGCTATCAAGCAGGTCTTTTGGCGTATCCTAATTTTCTACGTTGGTAAGTTCACATTGAATATCAGACCAAGGCATTACTAAACTATATTCAGGGACTATCTTCTTCATTGGAATGCTCATTCCATGGAATGACAAGAGATTGTTGGGCACAACGTCAAAGACAGCCAGCTCTCCATTGACAATCTCGCTGGAGGATGCTGGGATTCTCCCAGCTGCCCACCTCATTAATGCTCTCATTGTGATCAGTGTCATATCCGCAGGAAATAGCTCGCTTTATGTGGCATCTAGAACACTACTTTTCATGTCCCGCAACGGAAAAGCCCCCAAGTTCATTGGCCGGACAAATCGTCTCGGAGTCCCATGGGTGGGTTTGGTATTCACCAACGTCTTCGCATGCATTGTGTTTTTGGAGCAGTCCTCTAGTGCTGGAAGGGTTTACTCGGCATTGATCACCCTTTCGGGGGGTATGTTTCCCCTCCCGAACCGTTCCTAGAAACACCGTTGTTCCATGCTAACGAAGTACAGTTGCTACCTTCATTGTTTGGTCGGTAATCGGAGTTGCGCATATTCGATTCCGGAAAGCCCTGGTCGCGCAAGGCCAAGACCCATCAAAGCTCCCATTCCAAGCTCTCTTCTACCCATGGGGCACCTACCTCTCGTTGGCAGCAAATGTGTTCCTCATTTTCTTCCAGGGGTACACTTGCTTCCTCAATCCTTTTAGCTCGACTGACTTTGTGATTAACTATATCCTGATCCCTGTTTTTGTCTTGTTTGTGATTGTGTACAAGTTCTGGAACAAAACACATGTTGTCCGACTGGAGGATATGGACATCTGGACTGGGCGAAGGGAGCACATTGATTTGGATGAGCCCGAATCACCCAAGCAGGCCGCTACGTGGTGGTCCCGCATTTATTCCGTTGTTATAGGGTAGACCAATGACCCTCCGTCTTATACTATACCCATCCATACCATACACACAATTTGAAGCTATCTTTCAGTTGCATGCAGCTCTGTGAAGTACCATGCAGATTAGCGTGTCACGCAATTGGATTTAATCTACCGTGCAAAGAGTAACCGCCGAATATGGCTTTGTGCGACTGACGACTGAGGACTGATGACGGATAACCAAGAGACAAAACATGCGATATCATCGGCATGCAGCGGACCAGATATCATAGTTTAAGAGATCAGCACGGAAACCGTCGGAGCGCGGGGACCATAAGGAAAATCAATATATGCAAAGGGTAATTGTGTGAAACCTCTTATCTCGACAAGCCAATGGTTTGGGTTTTGTTCACAGTTTGATGAATGCAATACCCTCGGAAGTCACCGTTTACTCGCTCGAATTTCAGCTGCCAAAACCAAGACATCTAACCCCACATGACCCGCTGAGTAATGGGCCATTAGATCAACATCGTGTCCGACGGTTGACGTCGTGATTGGCCTGACTGAGAGAGAGACACCGCTCATCCCAGGCGCATAGGTTTAAAACAGAAAGCCCCATCCCAAATGACCCCGCCTGTCGATCACTTTCTCGGATAAGGCAAGTTTCCAGGGTTCCGGAGTTCTAGCACCACTCAATTCTTCACGCTGTCCCCAATTGACCAATCGAGACTATCTTGTACCTCGCTTTGACTTCTATACTTCGAAATTGCCGGTCGGTGAAGGTTCCTTATTCGGCATGGTGGTTGTTCATTAATCATTTGGACTTGCAGCATACCATTGCCAATTAAGCACCAAGACGGTTGGATGCACAGAATGTAACATCGCATTGATAGCGAGTAGATTCTCTTCATAGTCCGGAAATACCTCCGGCAAGGTGTATTTAAACACTCACCTTTCCCAGAAACATTGAGGTCTACAAGTCAAGAAATATACATAGTCAGCCAAGTACTCAAATCTTCCGGTCAATTCTCTCGCCAAAATGCAGTACACCAAGGTAATATATTCTATCATATCGAAAGCATCAACTATCAGCCGTTAACACAAACCTCAGATCCTGGCTGTGGCCACCCTCTTCATCTCCAGTGCCTTTGCTGCCCCGCTAGACGTTGAAGCTCGCGCATGTGCCGCGACTTGCGGTACAGTCTGCTACACTAGCAGTGCCATCAGCGCCGCCCAGGAAGCGGGATACGATCTCTACAGCACGAATGACGATGTCTCCAACTACCCGCACGAGTACCACAACTATGAAGGGTTCGACTTCCCCGTTTCGGGAACCTACTACGAATTCCCCATTCTCAGGAGTGGCAAGGTCTATACTGGTAGCTCCCCTGGTGCGGACCGTGTTATTTTCAACGACGATGACCAGCTCGCTGGCGTTATTACTCACACTGGTGCTAGTGGCAACAACTTTGTGGGATGTACCTAAATGATGAATTTGAATTGGACGTGATATATATATTTGAAAACATAGAGTGTTTCGCGTGTTCAAAATACACATATAGGTATTTGAATGTAGGAGATCACCTTATCATGTAGACAGAGGACTTGAACTGTCAACATGCCGTAATGATTTCCATTGCTTTTGGTGTCTAGAGGCAAACAACAATCGACACCCGCACATTTGCGAGAATGTGGGATCTTGTCGTCGTCGGGGTTTGATACCTAGGAGCGGTAGGGGAAATATGTAAACAAATAGAGGCCCCAGTACACATTGTGGTGATATAAAATTTGGGTTAGTCGCGTTTGTTTGTTGTCGGAACCCGGCCGGTGCACATTAGCTCCTCGCAAGACTCGACGACATTTGTAGAGTTGACTGGTATTTGATACTTGATGGATAAACATGGGCTACACAGCTACCAGGGGAGAGATTTTAGGGGACAGGAAAGGAGAGAAGAGGGTGAAAAGTGTGAAGGATGTTGTGTCACTCAGCAGTGCGGGGTAGTCTGGGCGCTCTGTACCCTCGACATACAACATAGAAAGACAGCAATTGATATTATTATTCCTTATGTGTGAAGAGTATTACAAAAGAAACAGCTACTGGTTCGGATAGTTTCCATTTCTATCATCATATGTCACCACGACAACTGTAGTCCGTAGGATCAAATATATGACAGTATTCTCGTAAAAAAAAAAAAAAGATTTAACAGGATTATAATGCCATCGGGGATGGTGATAATGAATAGGTCACGCAAGAATTCCAACATAAGGGTGGAATAACCATAGAGAGTAGCTAGACAGTTAGATGTAGTTATGTAGGCAAATCAGATCTACCCGTAGACTTTGGAAATGGTTACATAATTTTCGGCCTTAGAAATGGCCGAGGCCGATGATCACATAATATTTTAGAAACCCAACATCGGACCAAAACCCGGACGAACTAAATCTGACAATAGGTTACAAATCTCGTCATTTTTCATCCACAATTGATAATGCCAATTATAGAGAGAATGTATGAATCAAACAGAACTCTTGGGATATATAAGATCAAACCCCGCCACTGTAAATATGATCATTATCAACAAAGTCCAGCTTCAATCACAATCACAATCAAATCGCAATGTCATCCACAATCAAGCCCATTCAGCTCTACGGCTCCCTGCTTGGCCCCAATCCCCTGAAGGTGGGGATTGTCCTCACACTTCTGGAACTACCATATGAAATCATCCAAGTCCCCTTCTCCAAAGTCAAAGAACCCGAGTACGAAGCAATCAATCCAAATGGACGCCTACCTTCGATCCACGACCCAAACACCAACCTAACCATTTGGGAGAGCGGTGCTATTATCGAGTACCTCATTGAGCGCTACGACACCAATGAACCCCGTAAGCTCAGCTTTGCACCACGCAGCGCAGAAGCAGAGCTTGCACGCTCGTTCCTCCACCTCCAGGCCACCGGCCAAGGGCCGTACTACGGACAAGCGTATTGGTTCAAGAAGCTCCACTCCGAGAGAATCCCTAGCGCCGTCGAGCGCTATGTCAACGAAGCCAAACGCGTGACCGGCGTGCTTGACAAGTGGTTGGCCAAGCAGAAGGAGGCCAACGCCAACAATCTTGGAGATGGTCCCTGGTTGGTCGGCAACAAGTTGTCGTACGCTGATCTGGCATTCATCCCTTGGCAACAAACAGCACACACGGTATATGCCGATGAAGGGTTCAACGTTGATGAGTTCCCAAATGAGAAGGAGTGGTTTGAGCGCATGACCTCGAAGAAGCCCATCAAGGATATTCTGGATTCCGTGGCTGAGCAGAGGGCCAATTTGGCGCCACACTGATGAATTGGGAGTTCTGTGGACATCTAATTTGAGTATAAGTTATAGCTATCAATATCACGACGGGGCAATGCAAAGAAAAGCAAATACGATATTTTCGGTTAATACAACAATGTTCCAATTTCCAGTATCCTTGATTTGTATTTCTTTCTTTCTTTCTTTTTCTTGAATCAGGCTCGGAGTAATGTGTGACTAGCACCCATGGATATGCGCACAAACAGAAAAAATCATCATCCCAAACTCATCAGCAGATTGTAACCACCGCTCAATCTTCTCCCGCCGAGATTCTGTACCAGTCTCAGCAGACTTCCACAGCTCTGATATCTCGAGCATCCCATCCTCCCAGCGAGACAAATGCCGGTTGTATTCTCTTTCCCAAAGGGCACGGTCTGAGGCTTCCCAGAGTATTTTGCTTTCTGGGGCCAAGGTCCCTCTTAGTTCTTCGGCAACAAAGTTCGGCAGTCCAAGTTCGGAATTGTAGACATTGCTGAGGAGATACATGGTAAAGAGGGTGCGACGTTTGGCAGAAGCAACTATCCATGACTCCCAGCTCGGGCGGGTCTGGGATTCCTCTGCTCTGCATGTGAGACCTGCTTTGGCGGATCGGAAAGCAATTTCTTGCATTTGTAACTGCATATACTCATCGAACTGGCTGGGTTCTCTGACAGTGTGTGTTCGATGAAAGAAATGGATCGTCATGAAGTAGATGAGATACGCTTGGAACGAGCACAGGTTTTTAAAATCGCTTTGAGAGGTATCCTGTGTCGTATTAGGCTTACATCTAACGAGTAGTAAGCTGCCAACATACCTGATTTTCAATCTTTTTCATCTCGTCTCCTATCGTCCTCAGAAGCAAGGGTTCACAACCAGGAATCCTAGTCAACCATGTCCGAACCAGGGTGAAACAGTAAGCCAAGACAGGTGGACAAGTCGCTTTCTGTTGCATAGAATGAACAAAGGGCGGTGGAATTGAGTGGATTAGATTTCTAATGTACGATTTCAACACACAGGTGAGATAATGTATGGTGTGAACATTCAACTGCTTGGGCTCCTGGCCTGTCGAGCTTGAGATGTAGGGGCGTAGCCAGCGATCGCGAATTTCCTCTGCATCAATCATGGGAACCAGGTCAATTTCTTGAAAGTCCAGGACATGTGGATGAACTAGTCCACTATCTGCGATAGTAGAGTGATCCGGGGTATGAGATGCATTTCCGGTGGTTTGAGCCAGAAGATGGGCTAATGTAGAATCCGGCGAAATTGCATCAGGAACGTTGCTGAGAGGGCTGGCATCCACAATAGCATATTGATCCTCTGTATTAGTGCCACTCTGCGATCTGACCTGTGCTGGATATTCACAGCTCGTGCCTCGATCTTTGCATCGCTTGCATTTCGGCTTTCCGAGATCACATGCAGTTTTGCCTTCTACACATTTTCGACATGCCTTTCTTCGTGAATTGCGAGGGATTCGTGATGAAGCAGGAGTTGATGGTACGGATCTAGCTGAGATGTCCATTTTGAAGATGGATGGAGTCTTGGGAGACTTCGGAATTCCGTAAATATTTTCGGAGTTCCGTTGCCAAGGTATGAAGTCATCCCACTTAGAAACCTAAGGTAGGTAAATTTGCACTCGTTTATGTACAAATGTTGTCTGAACAACATGTAATATCTTCATTTCTGCTATCCGTGTACTTCAAACGTTTGCGGTATTATACTAAGCTCAGGTGGAAGTCCCCAGGTCTTTTCTCTGTTACCTAATGCTTCTTGGTTTCATGGCTTAAACTCTTATAGTTCACTACATAAAACTTCAATACATGTTCAAAAAAGGTAACTAGGGAAAATAACCAGGTGACTTGATTGAAGGCGTTGACTGACCTTAAAAGATGTGGCGAACTTAATGGCCCATCCCGAAGATCATTGCGGAATTCCGAAGCATGTCCAGACTCCCCGCAAATATAAAATCCCCTGCCGATCTCATCTTACAACACGCCTTCAACCAAAGCAACAACTACAATTACAACTCCAACCACAATTCGATAACCATGTCGCAAGTCTACACAACTGACCACTCAACCTCAGTCCTCCGCACGCACAGCTGGCGCACAGTCTCCAACTCCGCACCATACCTCCTCCCACACCTAAAACCAGAAATGAAAATCCTGGATGTAGGCTGTGGCCCTGGCTCAATCACGATTTCTCTCGCAAAGCACGTTCCATCTGGACATGTTACAGGTGTGGAATACGTGCCTGATCCACTAGAAGGCGCCCGTGCCCTTGCGCAAGCCGAAGGCGTGTCAAACATCACCTTCCAAGAAGGAAACATCCACACCCTGCCATTCGAGGACAATACCTTTGATGTGGTACATGCGCACCAGGTCTTGCAGCACGTTGCTGATCCAGTTGATGCGCTAAAGGAAATGCGGAGAGTCGCTAAGGATGGCGGCATTGTTGCATGTCGTGAGTCGGCGGAGCTGAGCTGGTATCCAGAGTCTGTGGGGATCGCTAAGTGGCGCGAGGTTACGGAGCGCATTCAGCTTGCTAAAGGTGGCAATCCGCATCCTGGGAAGATGATTCATGTTTGGGCGCGGGAGGCTGGGTTTGATAGTGAAAGTGTCAAGAGAAGTGCGGGGGCTTGGTGTTTTGGGAGTGACGAGGAGAGGGCGTATTGGGGTGGATCTATGGAGGATAGGGCTAGATCTTCTGGGTTTGCGAAGAATGTTGTTGAGGAGGGCTTTGCAGAGCCAGCGGACTTGGAAGTTATTGCGAGGGGGTGGAGGCAGTTTGTGGAAGATGAAGATGCCTGGTTTGGTTTGTTGCATGGGGAAGTATTGTGCTGGAAGTAAACTGGAACAAGTGTTGTCTTTAAACGTGGTTCGGCATCTCAATGGAATGATGATAGAAAAATATCTTGATGCGATGCTAAGGAATGGCAAATGTAATGATGTAAACCCTTCGCAAAATGCAACCCTCAACCCTAGCAAAAAATAATGTGCACCTTAAAACAACGATCGATTGATGAGAGACCTTCAAGCAACAGCCCATAAGTGATGGCAATCACCAACCGCCGTCACTGTGATCAGACTGAGCCTCTTCTTCATCGCGACGGCCCTGTTCATAAGCCTCTTCGAGATCTGACTTGTCGGAATCCTCGCCTAAAAAGAATCGATTAGTATGTGTAAAAACAAGGCAGTTTAATCGAAGCAAAAACGGGAACATACCGAGCTCATGAGCAATCAAAGCACCACCAAGACCGCCGACAGCCAAACCAGCGGCACCAGCTGCAAGATACTTCCCAGCGTTGCTGCTCTTCTTCTCAGGCTCGGGCTGCTGGTAGTAGTCCTGGCTAGGGCCACGATTATCGTAAGGTACAGGCGGAGGGCCCGGGGGAGGCGCATAGTAGCCACCCTGCGGCTCGGGGGGAGGAACGCTGCGAGAGCCATCATTGTATCCAGAGTAGCCAGGCTGCTGGTAAGGCGCCTCCCACTGGGAGCGACCAGTGGCCTGTTCTATGTAAAATGCGCGACGGGCACTGGGCTCCCATTCCTGGACCCAGCCCTGGGGCAGAGGAGGTGGGGGGGCCAGGAGGGGGACGGGCTAGAGGCGGAGGTGCACTGTATGGGCCACGATCATATGCTGGGCGACCGCCGTCGTAGGGGGGACGGTCATATCCATCTTGAGGAGGGCGCGCATAAGGGTCAGCAGGTGGGCGCCCGTATGGGTCGTATGGTGGGCGATCTGGGGGAGGGCGAGCGTAAGGGTCGCCGTAAGGTGGAGCGTACGACATAATGAGGGTTGATATGGGGAGGTGAAAGAAGAGAAAATGGATATTAATTGAGAAAGAGGGGAGTGAGGGCTTTTATGGGAAAGCGCAAAGAACACCGTTGTAGACCATGACCTTCCGCCCAGAACCGAAAGAGACAACTCCACAATCTGTCCAACAGAATTATGCCCCCACTTCTAAGGAGTTACATGTTAGCGCCCAAGTTTACGGCCCCCAGGGAGTACGTCTACTCCGATTAGGCAGATGCAATATAAAATGCTCCATGAGCCCCTGGAGTGGGCAGGATGGTCAGATTGACAATCCCATCGCCTTGCAGGGCTAGTCAGCCAAATGACCAATTCGATTTCAGCATGCAAACTGACCCCCTGTTCACTGTTAGTGTGTTACAATAAACCAAAAATATACGAAGTACTCTGTACGAAGTAGAGGGGTTGCATTACAGATCAGCTCCACACGGGAGACTATTTGTTTCCACGGTTGGACCTCGCACCGTCTAAAAAGGGGTCCATATATTGGTAACGATATATATGGAGTACAACTTAAAGGGAAAGGAAAAAAAAAAGAATAGGGGGAATATGGGCAGTGGAGAGTTCCCCTCTATAGGGGCATCAAGGATTGCGGGATAAAATCAACTCGCGTGCTACCGCCGAGCCATGATGTGGCTCGTGTCAGGGAAACACAGCCACTGACTGTCACACACGTGGCTGGTGGATATAGGGATTGGGGCTTGGCACATTTAGTACTCTATGGGGAGTGGTGTGCTCCGACAAAACTAGTCGCAATTGGTTTCAAAGATATTGTAACGCCAAATCAGCATGTGGCTAAGGCGGGTAGGATTGGGATCAAGGGTGCTATTTAGCAGGTTGATATGAAGCGCTTGCAACGTCGTACTCCGTACTCCAGTACAAAAAATGTGTTCAACACTGTACGCCAAGGTTTTACCCTGAAACAGGCGACAAGAACGATCCGCGACCTGTCAAGTAGCAACGACAACAGCTTTGAATTTTCCTTTTGTTTTCTTTTTATATTCCATTTAGGGATGGTTAATAAATCCATATTGACTCAATTCCCCCGCCTCTAGAACTGTAAACTCACTGTTTCGACGTTTCTTCCGAGCCATGCATGTGCATCCCGCGTATACATACCGCTGTACCTACATACGCCCTAGGATCCGACCGCGGACTTTGGCTGAAATAATGTTCGGAACAAAAGCGGCCTGGGCCCAACCCGCGCGGGGCCATACGGGACCGCGACGATGGTCCACATGAGGCTTTTCCCCGTGATCCATCATTGCTAGAGCGATTAATGTTTAGAAGATTCCCAAATATACCAGCCAGCAATACGTGGAGGACATTTGATATACCAAATGTATTATTCCTGATCGCGCTACGTGTATGACTACATATTTGCCTGCTAGAAAGCAATAACAGATTGTTCGATGGAAGTGTCGTATTATATAGTAGTGTAGTTATGGATGGCGCTCTAGCGCTAGCAATCAAACCTTGCAAGGAACGTTGGAAACCGATCGACGCACAGACCTTTGACAGCGGAAACAATTCACGCTGAACATCCCATCACCGAAGGTTCAGAACTATGCCCCTGAGCCAGCGATAACACTTGATTCCGTGCTGGGCGGGTAGAAGAACGCAGATAGGCTGAGGGAATGGTTAGCACATTGAAGCAACATAGAGGACAGGGATAAACTCACGCAATGATGATATAGGCTGCAATTAGAAGGACACCCTCCAGGTAGTTGCTTCGGCCGTCCAGGACGAGGAAGTTGACAACGAAGGTGGTCACAAAGAGACAAATAGTCTCGAAGAGCGTGAAATACAGAGACATGTCCTTGTCCATACACCAGCCCAGGATGACGACCAAGGGTGTGACGAAAATTGCTATTGGAATGGTCAGAATGTGCGAATGTAGGCATATCATCAGGAATGGATGGAATCTTACCAATTTGAATACTACTACCAACAGACACACCGATCGACAGGTCCATCTTGTTCTTAGTGGCGACACTGACGGCAGTGACGTGTTCAGCTGCATTTCCGACAATGGGCAGGATAATGAGACCAATGAAAGCTTCGCTGACGCTTGAGCTTGCGATCATCTCGGGAATAGCGTCAACCAAGAATTCAGCGCAAACTGCTACCAAAGCAGTGGACAGCAGGAGCATGACAACAGCAGCGGTACGTGACATCTCGGGTTCCGGGGCTTGAGAAGCTGTCTCCGGACCCACGGCGTCATTTTGATCGGTTAGACGAGAAGCACCACGGGCAAACTGCACTGCGTTTCCGGCCAGCGGAGGACGGCTCATGTGCGCGGGGAGCGAGTTGCTGCGAGAGATTCCTGGCCGCGAGGCAGCGGCTCCAATACTCGGTGAAACCGCGGGTGATTGGGAGCTGAAAACAGTGTTTGAAAGCAGAGATGGGATAGGCCCGAAAGGAGAACGGCGTTTGCGGGGATCATCTGCTGCGCCTTCACAGCCAGCGACGTTAGGGCTGGATGGGAATCCCTTGAGGGCTGGACGTTGACCGGACGAGGGACCGCTGTCCTCGGGTGCCACGATTTGAGCCTTCTTTTCTTCTTTCTGGGCCTTGCGTCTCTTGTGGTCGCGTTTCTTCGACTTCTTACTAGCTTTGCTGTCCATACGGCTCAGAGCCAAACCAAAGTCACGAGAACGGATTTCGGAAGAGGGTTGAACGTCGTCGTCGGCATCGTAACGAATTTCGTCGCTAAGCTCAATGGAGTGCTCATTGCTGCCAATGGAATTCGAGATGGAACCCTGATTTTCATTGGAGGTCGATGCCATAGGCTTTTTCTGGAAGGAGTTACGAGAGGTTGTCCCTCTTGAGCTTGTACTTAACTTTCGGTGTCTGCGATACTTCATTGCTCTTTTGATCCGTTTGGCGGTAGTCCAGGAAGTCGTAGTGTCATCCGACTCATCACTGGAGCTAGATGAAGAGTCCGAAGAGCTGTTCATAAATTCTGCCAAAACACCAGGTTTGGATTCCTCATCGATGATGGCCTGTGGAATACTGGCGTAGAGATATGAGTGTGTTCTGAGCTGGAAGATGATGTACAGAATATACACCAACAGAAGAACGACACTGGTACCACGGCTAACTTTGAGTGTCTCGCGATCGGCATTTGTGCTATCCGACCACGAGGCGTGGAAAGCAGTTGGCAAGAGGAGACTGACCACACTCAAACTGAGCAGACAAGCGCTCATCTGAGTGACGGTACTGTTGTAAATCTGTTCTCGGAAGCGAAGGCCACCAGCGAGGAACGCCATGCCCATAATCAACAACAGATTGGCGAGAATGGAGCCGAGGAGAGAAGCCTGAACGATGCGAATCTCATTCTTAACCAGAGCAATGATGAAGATGATCAATTCGACTGCGTTTCCGAAAGTGACGTTGATCAGGGCTCCGATGGTGTCGCCAAGACGACTGGCGACACTCTCCGTGGCATGGCTGAGCAGTCCAGCCAAGGGAATGATGGCCACTGCATTCATCGCGAAGATGATGGCTGGGTTGAGACCTGCAGCCTCACAGGCAATACCCACCGGTACGAAGATCAGCAGGACATTGATCCAGCTGTGGCAGATAGCATCTGCAGTATGGTGGTAGAAACGACCGGAGCCATTTCGCATACGGATCAGAAGACCCGGCTTTGAGTTGTTTTCCGTGTCGGACCCCGGAGTGGGGTCCTCCACTGGCACATTCACTTGTCCATGTTGAGAGGGTTTTTCGGTAGTAACAGGATCGGCGGCCTGTTGAGAGGGAGTCTGATCTGGCAGGCCGCTAGAAGACGCGTGAGCTTTCGCCCACGAGTGAATCCGGTCTGCAGAAAGGAACATTGTTAGCCAGATACGAAAAAGTGGAGATAAGATCTCGGGATAGCTATAGCTATAGCTTTGAGCCCTCCCTGGATAATACTTACGCATGTATTTCAGAGGAAAAAGACGGATGAAAGAAGGCAACAAGCCTTTGATGATAAGACAGTAGATGAAAACAGAAAAAAAAGTAAAGTCGACAGTTGACGCGCGAGTTTTTCAGTCACTTAAGGGGGAATCTGGGAATCTTGGAACGGGACCAGGCTTATTTAGGTAAAGCCTTGGCAGCTTGGCATGATGATTTTCCAACGCCACTTTTTTTCCTGTCTTTTTTTGGTCTCAGCCCTGGAGATCCTGATTACCAAGGAATGTTGGAGATAATCTTGGACCTACGAATGCATTCTCAACCTCGCGTTGCCTTTCGTCACCATACACTATATCCCTAGCATGATGTCAATCCTCACATGCTCTAGGGGCTACTTCGTATATTGGGCCTTAATATGTGACGCGTTCTCCACGAATCTCCCTATAAGGATGCCAAGGGTAAAAGACGGGAAGACTGGGTCCATTACTTAGCAGGTCAACCTTATTGGTGAATCATTGTTTCGATCGACCATCCAGCTCCCATATTTGGGTGTCATTATTATTGGCATGGGGTCTTGTTTTCGCTTATTTTCGTGGGTGAGTGTCGCACAGGCGCTTTCAAGACACTACATCGATGTACGATGTGTGTTGTATGTGTGTGCTGTCGTACTCCACTGGTGACTAGGAATGAGGTCATTTGTATGTATTTTCGGAACGGCTTCACACATATCCGACTGTCCTACGCGATACAACACATCCAATTGTAGGTCTGCTGCGCCTCTCTCTGTTATCGTTGTGGAGTTTCAGCCCCACAGCTCCATATCCGCACTTGTGGCTGTGTCACTTGCTATTGCCACAATCTGCATCATTGGATGTTACAGGTGTTTTCTCGAATTAACTCAGTGATTATTATTGATACTGATGGCCTGCATTTGCTAAAATGAGCTAACTCTTGGCATCATGAACACGAAACCTTGGGAACACAATGCATACAATGCAAATGCAAAGGCAGTCTTAGGTGCGTCCATCTACATCGATCTCCATCTCAAGAAGATGAACGTGGTTGCATCATTGCTTT